CCGGATCCCATCAGAACTCCGAAGCTAAATGCCAGTGGGCGAGAATAGTACTGGGCAGGGTGACCTCCCGGGAAGTCCTCGTGTCGTACCCATTTCTGCCTGCTCCCGTGCCCGGGAGGGGGCAGTGGGAAAAAGAAATGAGGATTCTTCCCCGAACCGCCCGGGCGCCGATGTCGTGCGGCTGCGGGGAGGGCCGCTCTCTGCGTAGGACGCCGCGGAGCGTGATTACAGACGAGCGTGCGGCCCAGCGAGATGGCGAGCCTCTCGCGGGCATGACCGCGGATGTGACTATTAAGGGGGGAGCTGCCTCAGGGGAGGAGTGGGAAGCGCACCGGGGAAGGGATTCACGTGGTACGATCATACTTTGGCCACTACGCTGGATCCCATCAGAACTCCGAAGCTAAATGCCAGTGGGCGAGAATAGTACTGGGCAGGGTGACCTCCCGGGAAGTCCTCGTGTCGTACCCATTTCTGCCTGCTCCCGTGCCCGGGAGGGGGCAGTGGGAAAAAGAAATGAGGATTCTTCCCCGAACCGCCCGGGCGCCGATGTCGTGCGGCTGCGGGGAGGGCCGCTCTCTGCGTAGGACGCCGCGGAGCGTGATTACGGACGAGCGTGCGGCCCAGCGAGATGGCGAGCCTCTCGCGGGCATGACCGCGGATGTGACTATAAAGGGGGGAGCTGCCTCAGGGGAGGAGTGGGAAGCGCACCGGGGAGGGGATCCACGTGGTATGATCATACCTTGGCCACTACGCCGGATCCCATCAGAACTCCGAAGCTAAATGCCAGTGGGCGAGAATAGTACTGGGCAGGGTGACCTCCCGGGAAGTCCTCGTGTCGTACCCATTTCTGCCTGCTCCCGTGCCCGGGAGGGGGCAGTGGGAAAAAGAAATGAGGATTCTTCCCCGAACCGCCCGGGCGCCGATGTCGTGCGGCTGCGGGGAGGGCCGCTCTCTGCGTAGGACGCCGCGGAGCGTGATTACAGACGAGCGTGCGGCCCAGCGAGATGGCGAGCCTCTCGCGGGCATGACCGCGGATGTGACTATAAAGGGGGGAGCTGCCTCAGGGGAGGAGTGGGAAGCGCACCGGGGAGGGGATCCACGTGGTACGGTCATACCTTGGCCACTACGCCGGATCCCATCAGAACTCCGAAGCTAAATGCCAGTGGGCGAGAATAGTACTGGGCAGGGTGACCTCCCGGGAAGTCCTCGTGTCGTACCCATTTCTGCCTGCTCCCGTGCCCGGGAGGGGGCAGTGGGAAAAAGAAATGAGGATTCTTCCCCGAACCGCCCGGGCGCCGATGTCGTGCGGCTGCGGGGAGGGCCGCTCTCTGCGTAGGACGCCGCGGAGCGTGATTACAGACGAGCGTGCGGCCCAGCGAGATGGCGAGCCTCTCGCGGGCATGACCGCGGATGTGACTATAAAGGGGGGAGCTGCCTCAGGGGAGGAGTGGGAAGCGCACCGGGGAGGGGATCCACGTGGTACGATCATACCTTGGCCACTACGTCGGATCCCATCAGAACTCCGAAGCTAAATGCCAGTGGGCGAGAATAGTACTGGGCAGGGTGACCTCCCGGGAAGTCCTCGTGTCGTACCCATTTCTGCCTGCTCCCGTGCCCGGGAGGGGGCAGTGGGAAAAAGAAATGAGGATTCTTCCCCGAACCGCCCGGGCGCCGATGTCGTGCGGCTGCGGGGAGGGCCGCTCTCTGCGTAGGACGCCGCGGAGCGTGATTACAGACCAGCGTGCGGCCCAGCGAGATGGCGAGCCTCTCGCGGGCATGACCGCGGATGTGACTATAAAGGGGGGAGCTGCCTCAGGGGAGGAGTGGGAAGCGCACCGGGGAGGGGATCCACGTGGTACGATCATACCTTGGCCACTACGCCGGATCCCATCAGAACTTCGAAGCTAAATGCCAGTGGGCGAGAATAGTACTGGGCAGGGTGACCTCCCGGGAAGTCCTCGTGTCGTACCCATTTCTGCCTGCTCCCGTGCCCGGGAGGGGGCAGTGGGAAAAAGAAATGAGGATTCTTCCCCGAACCGCCCGGGCGCCGATGTCGTGCGGCTGCGGGGAGGGCCGCTCTCTGCGTAGGACGCCGCGGAGCGTGATTACAGACGAGCGTGCGGCCCAGCGAGATGGCGAGCCTCTCGCGGGCATGACCGCGGATGTGACTATAAAGGGGGGAGCTGCCTCAGGGGAGGAGTGGGAAGCGCACCGGGGAGGGGATCCACGTGGTACGATCATACCTTGGCCACTACGCCGGATCCCATCAGAACTTCGAAGCTAAATGCCAGTGGGCGAGAATAGTACTGGGCAGGGTGACCTCCCGGGAAGTCCTCGTGTCGTACCCATTACGCCGCGGAGCGTGATTACAGACGAGCGTGCGGCCCAGCGAGATGGCGAGCCTCTCGCGGGCATGACCGCGGATGTGACTATAAAGGGGGGAGCTGCCTCAGGGGAGGAGTGGGAAGCGCACCGGGGAGGGGATCTACGTGGTACGGTCATACCTTGGCCAATACGCCGGATCCCATCAGAACTCCGAAGCTAAATGCCAGTAGGCGAGAATAGTACTGGGCAGGGTGACCTCCCGGGAAGTCCTCGTGTCGTACCCATTTCTGCCTGCTCCCGTGCCCGGGAGGGGGCAGTGGGAAAAAGAAATGAGGATTCTTCCCCGAACCGCCCGGGCGCCGATGTCGTGCGGCTGCGGGGAGGGCCGCTCTCTGCGTAGGACGCCGCGGAGCGTGATTACAGACGAGCGTGCGGCCCAGCGAGATGGCGAGCCTCTCGCGGGCATGACCGCGGATGTGACTATAAAGGGGGGAGCTGCCTCAGGGGAGGAGTGGGAAGCGCACCGGGGAGGGGATCCACGTGGTACGGTCATACCTTGGCCACTACGCCGGATCCCATCAGAACTCCGAAGCTAAATGCCAGTGGGCGAGAATAGTACTGGGCAGGGTGACCTCCCGGGAAGTCCTCGTGTCGTACCCATTTCTGCCTGCTCCCGTGCCCGGGAGGGGGCAGTGGGAAAAAGAAATGAGGATTCTTCCCCGAACCGCCCGGGCGCCGATGTCGTGCGGCTGCGGGGAGGGCCGCTCTCTGCGTAGGACGCCGCGGAGCGTGATTACAGACGAGCGTGCGGCCCAGCGAGATGGCGAGCCTCTCGCGGGCATGACCGCGGATGTGACTATAAAGGGGGGAGCTGCCTCAGGGGAGGAGTGGGAAGCGCACCGGGGAGGGGATCCACGTGGTACGGTCATACCTTGGCCACTACGCCGGATCCCATCAGAACTCCGAAGCTAAATGCCAGTGGGCGAGAATAGTACTGGGCAGGGTGACCTCCCGGGAAGTCCTCGTGTCGTACCCATTTCTGCCTGCTCCCGTGCCCGGGAGGGGGCAGTGGGAAAAAGAAATGAGGATTCTTCCCCGAACCGCCCGGGCGCCGATGTCGTGCGGCTGCGGGGAGGGCCGCTCTCTGCGTAGGACGCCGCGGAGCGTGATTACAGACGAGCGTGCGGCCCAGCGAGATGGCGAGCCTCTCGCGGGCATGACCGCGGATGTGACTATAAAGGGGGGAGCTGCCTCAGGGGAGGAGTGGGAAGCGCACCGGGGAGGGGATCCACGTGGTACGGTCATACCTTGGCCACTACGCCGGATCCCATCAGAACTCCGAAGCTAAATGCCAGTGGGCGAGAATAGTACTGGGCAGGGTGACCTCCCGGGAAGTCCTCGTGTCGTACCCATTTCTGCCTGCTCCCGTGCCCGGGAGGGGGCAGTGGGAAAAAGAAATGAGGATTCTTCCCCGAACCGCCCGGGCGCCGATGTCGTGCGGCTGCGGGGAGGGCCGCTCTCTGCGTAGGACGCCGCGGAGCGTGATTACAGACGAGCGTGCGGCCCAGCGAGATGGCGAGCCTCTCGCGGGCATGACCGCGGATGTGACTATAAAGGGGGGAGCTGCCTCAGGGGAGGAGTGGGAAGCGCACCGGGGAGGGGATCCACGTGGTACGATCATACCTTGGCCACTACGCCGGATCCCATCAGAACTTCGAAGCTAAATGCCAGTGGGCGAGAATAGTACTGGGCAGGGTGACCTCCCGGGAAGTGTCGGACCCATTTCTGCCTGCTCCCTTGACGCGCCTTCGCCGACCGTGCTGCCGAAGCTGACGCAGTAGAAGAAGACATACCTGAAGCCTCGGAAGCTGCCGGACCACTCCCTTGCTGCTCCGTGCCCATTCCACTCGACGACGACAATCCTCTCGATAATAACAACCTCGACACCTATTACCACTTCGCTGACCAGGGTTACACTACACCTCAACCGGTCAACACAAATATCTCTGAACGCATTGGACCCCATTTCTTACCTGACCCTGAAGATGGTGACGAAGCACCTTATCCTGAGAATGTCAATTCCCGAGAATACACTACACTCGAGGAAAGTCGTACCGGGTACGCGAGTCAACAGAGGTTACAAGAGGAGGTTGGACGAAAGAATACGAAAGGACAAAGAAACTCGAAAGGTTGCAACCGGAGGTTGCGATTTACCGTTGCGACTGCAAGGATGGTAACCGAATAGACAATCGAGTCGCTATGCGACTCGATAACTGTTTCTTCAACTGTATTCTACAACTGCTTCATTTCTTATTCTCTATATATTGCTGTATGCTTGTTTCTTTTAATCAATCACTTGCCTTCACATACTAGTGCAAGGGTTCAACTACTCAACACTATTAGCATACGAGAATGATGGACTAGAAGGTGAAACAAGGAACATATAGCTATTGGGTTGTACTCCCTAGGAGCACACACCGATACTAGCCTATAACTTCTACGTGCATGACATGTATAAGTTGACTAACACTTCCGCTGCACTACTCAAGCATTCTTCTACAAGTGGGACTTAGTCTCTGGAAAGATCCTAAGGGCTTTTCTCAGCCCAACATCTTGCTTGTTCTCTTTTTTCTATTCATTTTAGTATCCTAACATTTCTAACTGCGAAATAAGCATACACTAGGCACGCATATTCGTGAACAGGCACACTGGTTTTCCATTACATGCAGGGAAAATATATTAAACAGCCAAGGCGAACGAATGGAGACAAATATCCGATCCCATCCCTGCAACGCAATCAAATCATGCCACAGGCGGCCTGAGCATCTGATCATGGGATGTGTCAACAGCCGACTGCGGTAACCACTGCCACATGGCCACAGGTGCCATCCCTGGCATGCCATATGGCATGGCAGGCAATGCGGCCATGTACTGTGGAGCAGCAATTCCTGCAGCAGCAGCGGAATGGGTTGGGACAGGGTATGGCATATGACCTGGACCAGGGTGAGCGACGGGGCCTGCCATCATTGGCATGTGCACCATGCCCATGGGTGCTCCAAGTGCTGCCAGCTTGGCTGGGTCACATGCTGGGTGCAGCATCATAGGAACGGTAGCAGCAGCAGCATTAGGAGGACAGGCCGCTAACACACCCCCTAGGCTAGAGAAGGGGTGGTGCAAGCAAGAAGCACACAGCTCAGGGAGGCACTACTAGTCCAACCACTGAGGCAGGGGTCCAAAGACTCGTCAGCAAGAGTACAGACAAGACAAAAGCAAACCAGGGTGGCACTACTGGTCCAGCCACTAGGAGTAAAGCCACAAGACTAGTCAGACAGGTATATACTGTATATAGTGAGGAGTACAAAAGTCAGGGTCCTAACAAGTGAGAAGTTGCAAGAGCAAGACCAAGCTGGACACAGTGCCGCTGATGATCTTTAGGCGCAAGCTATCAGCTGTGTTGGCATCGGAGGCCAAGTGAACTACACGGGCCTGGCGACGCTGCTGTAGCTCGCGCAGAAGGAAGTACCGCAGCTGGATATGCTTCGCTCTGCCCTCAAGCCGAGGCTCCTGACACATGAGAATCATGGCCCTGTTGTCAGCGTACGGGACTGTGGCAGAGCTAGGCCGCTCACCTAAGTCTGTGAGCAAGAAGTTAAGCCAGCGGAGCTCCTGTGCCACCATGGCACCGGCGTAGATCTCAGCCTCACAGCTGGACTGAGCAACAGACGACGAGCGAGTGGATCTCCAAGAGATAGCACCCGAACCAAGGCTAAAACAGTAGCCCTCCGACGACCTGAGCGTCTCAGAGTCGTCTGCCCAAGAAGCGTTTGTGTGCCCAATGAGGGCAACTGGCCTGCGTCCTCCTAGCACTAATCCCATGCCCCATGTACTTGCAAGATAACGCAAAACCCTCTTAGCAGCAGACTAGTGCTCAGGTCGGTGTCTGCCTGTAGCTACAAAGCGAGCCAGGATGCTGAGAGGGTATGCGAGATCTGGGAAAGTGCAAGTCATCAGGTACATGAGGCAACCCACCAGCTCTGCGTAAGGGCCACTGGGCTCTACTGGCTCCTCAGGAACGAGAGCGGAGGGCCCATAGTCTACAGGTAGAGGTGTGGGCTATGCGGAGGAGAACTGAAGACCGAACCTCTGAAGGACCTGATGCACCAAGTCTGACTGTGTCAGACTGATGGTGAGTGCTGCTCTGTCCCTAGAGATCTGCAGGCCAAGATAGTGACGCAGCTCTCCAAGGTCAGTGCAGGTGTGTCACTTCAGCAGCTCGGCCTTCACAGAGGCCAGTGCGTCCCTGTCAGCAGTAGCAAAGACCAGGTCGTCTACGTAGACAAGGATGTAGAACGGAGTCTGGCCGGAACGCACAAACAGCGAGGGGTCAGCAGAGGACGGAAAGAATTGCAGGTCTGCTAACGTGGCTCGCAGGGTGTCGTGCCACTCGCGGGGAGCCTAACGTAGGCCATAGACTGGGCGCCTGAGAAGCCACTAGGTCCCAGGAGGGAAGGTACCAGTGAAGCCCTGTGGTCGGTGCAGGTAGACCTGCTCGTGTAGGCTGCCCTGAAGAAAGGCAGTAGAGAAGTCGAGGGAGTGAAGCTCGTAGTCGCGCTGTGCTGCTACGTGTAGCAGCGCCCGAAGAGTGGTCATCTTGGGGGTCGAGGCGAAGGTCTGGAAGAAGTCAAGCCCCTCGCGCTGACTGATGCCTCTGGCCACGTAGCGCGCCTTGAAGACAGGTGGCTCTCCAGGGGGGCGCTTCACCTTGAAGAGCCATCGACCATCGACTACGTTCACCCCAGGTGGGGGAACTGCGTCGACGTAAGTGCCGGTGGACCTCCAAGATGCCATCTCCTGCTCCATGGCAGCTATCCACTGAGAGGCCCAAGATCCCGAGGTAGCCTCAGCGTAGGTGCGCGGGGTTGGGATATCGAAGGCGTCTGGGTCACCCTCAGGGACTAACAGCATGGTGCAGAGATGGGGAGCGGCCTCGGAAAGGAAAGCAAGCTCGTACTTCCTGTCCTCTAGAACGTCACTGCCAAGGGCAGGTGCACCCCCGACGGACGGAGGACGAGCAGGGTCAGAGACCAGAGCGGTAGCGTAGTCAAGGCGGCGGGTAGAGGCGAAGTCAGCGACAGCAGCGACAAGCGCGTCAAGGCGCGAGACAAGAACAGAAGGGTCGGTAACGAGGCAAGAACCCGAGGGACAAGGGGACGAGCGGCACGGAGGTAGTCAGACAATGGAGGAGGTGCAACAGCAAGCGACGAGGGAGTGTTGGAGTGGTTCTGCCACCCACAATGGACTACTCGTGACTAGGGGCGACGAGGAGAGAAATGCAGACTTGGGACGAGAAGGAACTAGGAAGCGTGTATTGCGTGAGCGTGAGGTGTACGGAAAGGGGAGAAGAAAGAGAGAAGATTGGTGGAAAGAAAGGAGATGGGGTAGTTGAGTGGAAGAAAGGAAGGGAAGTGGCGAGAAACAGATTGACGTAGGGCAAAAGTTGGGTTTCGGACGGGGCGTGTTCAACAAGCATTCGGACTTCGGACCAGTGGCGTGTTCAGCAAGAAAGTCGCGGTTGCGTGTGCGACTCGGCATGACACAAGGCGCGCGAGTTACTTGCAGCGCACACGGCAGTTACGAACCACGGCAGTATACTCTTGAGTGCTTTGTATCTCATTGGAACTAGTGGAATGCTTGTGTGTATTGACAACTTGCAACCACTTTGAGATCAGATAATGAGGCAAGGCCCTTGAGGCTATTTGCACAAGTATTTCTAAATACTTTCGCTGCGCCGGAGGCGATAGTCGCCTAGAGGGAGGAGGGGACGGGAGGAGGCGAGGACGAGACGAGTGGGAACGGAGCAACATAGGGTGGAAGCGCAGGGCAAGAGAGACGGGACGAGCACGGGAGGGACGGCGAGACCAAACGTGGGACAGAGTTGTAGGGTCACGAGACAGCGGGGGAGACACAGGAGGGGAACGAGGAGGAAGACGGGCCGGAGACGAGTCCGACGGCGGAAACACAGGGCAGTAGACTGGAAAGTCGGAAGGCGGTGGGGGAGACACCGGCAAGCGGTCAGGGGAGGGAAGGCCGAGCAGGCGGAGAGCGAAGACCGGCGGCGACGGCTGCTGCGGCTGCTGCGACGGCTGGGCCGGAACCCTCGTACCGGCAGAGGCAGGACGACCGTCGGCAGAACACTCAACAGCAGCACCCCCAGAACCAACACGCCCAGAGCGAGAACCCCCTCCAACACCAGCGGCACCCCCAGGAACCGCATGACGAACACCCTCCTCAACGCCAGCACCCCCAGGGGCCAAGAGCGGCGGCAGTAGCGGCGACGGCAGTGGCGGTGACGGCAGCGGCGGCGACGGCGACGGCGACGGCGGCGGCGGCGGCGGTGGCGGCTGCGGCGGAGTCGGCGACTGCGACAGTGGAGGCGGAGACACCGGGGAAGAGGGACGCGGCAAGGATGGGCCGGGGGTACCACCAGAGTCAGCAGACTCCTCAACGGGGACAACCGTCGGGAGGGGAGTGACGTGAGAGACACCAGACGGGGCACGACGAGGCGGGAGAGGAGTAGGGGCTACCGGGGGAGAAGGAGCAAGGAACAGGGGCGGGGCAACCGAAAGACCTCGGTGAGGGAAGCGGCGGTAGAAGGAGACAGACTCGTCAAAGGTGACGTCACGAGAGTGCAGGAAGCGGTGAGACAGCGGGTGGTAGAAAAGCCAGTCAGACGAGTCCAGTGGGAAACCGAAGAAGACACAGGGGACAGTGTGGGCAGTGAGCTTGTCCGTGCCAGAGGCACGAACGTGAGCAAGGCAGCCCCAGACATGGAACGCAGACGCGTCACCGGGGGACTTGGTCCAAAGGAGGTTCGGCGAAACCTGCGGCCGCTGGGAGCACGGCCACAAGTTAAGCTGGTAAGCAGCGTAGCGAACAGCGAACGGCCACAGAAAATGGGGGGCATCGGCATGAATCATGGAGGTACGAGCAACCTCTATGACCAAGCCGATGCGGCGCTCAGCAACCTCATTCTGCTGTGGCGAGTCCGGCAAGGTGTACGATTGGGTGATGCCCTCCGCACGACAGAAGTGTCCAAGCCGACCAGAGGCGAACTCGCCGCCACGGTCAGAGTGGAGACACAACACGGGGAGACCGCGGTGAAGACGCGCAGCCACAACTCACGGTAGAAGAACGTCGGGCACGTCGGCCTTCCGCTCTAGTGGAAACACCGTGGTGTAGCGCGTGTAGTCGTCGACGAGCACAAGGAAGTAGCGCTCACCACGCGGTCCGGGGACGGGGGCAGGGCCCCAAACGTCCAGGCGCAGGGTCTGAAGGGAGGCAGTAGCAGGGCGCAGCGAGGAGGAATGAGGAGCACGGCGGAGCCGGCCCTCGACGCAAGGCGTGCACGGTGGCGCAGTCGAGGGGGGGAGGGCAGGGAGCGATGCGAGGAGGCCTAAGACAAGACCATGCTGAGACATGGGACGCAGACGTGGGAGAGCAGGGTGACCTAGCCTTTGGTGCCACAGAAGGGACGGGTGAGTGAGGGACCGACACGAGCAAGCTGCAGCGACCTTGGAGGACGCACCAACCAGGGGGGAAGCGGTGTCTAGGGTGAACAGACCGGACACCGGGTCCCGGGGGACGTTGCAAGGGGGGAACCTGAGACAGCCTCAGAACAGACAGCGAACCGCTCGTGCCTAGGGAACGTAGTGGTGACGCAGAGGTCCTGGACACAGCCGACACCGACCAGGTTCCTCAAGAACGAGGGAACGTGGAGGCCTGTAAGGGAGCCCGAGGGAACTGCTGGACAGGGAAGGGAAGTGGAGCTGCGAGCGACGAGAGGACCCGCAGAGGGGTCAGCGAGAGAGACAACAGCAGGCGCAGCAAGCGGTGTGAGCGTGGAACGGTCCCGGAAGAAGCAGGCAGAAGCACCGGAGTCGAGAGTGAAGGACAGCGAAATAGTGGCAGAGGCCAGGAACGGAGCCGGTGCAAAGACTAGGCTAGGCAAACTAGGCAGTCCTACGCCTGACGCAGCAGGGGAGGCTAAGCTACACAAGGGTGCAACACCTAAACTAGAGTACACAGGGTAATAAGATCCAGCAACACTAGAAGCGTCAGAAAACAAGGCATGCAAAGCAGCACCTATCTGATCCATGTCTAACTCAAAGATCGGCACGCCCTGGCGGAGCAGGCTGTGCCAGTCGGGGAGGTCCGGGGCCGGGCCAAAGCGACGACGAAAGAGATCGTCGAGGCGGCGGAAACAGCGGGCGATCGGGTGCGGGCGGCGGCACAGAGTGCCGCGGAGAGGCCTGGTCTGAAGCTGGTACTGGCAGGTCACAGCACCGGAGCCGCCGGTAGACGCCGAGCTGTGCGGGCCGCCACCACGGCCACTACCTTCGGAGCTGCCGGGCCAACCAGGCGGGAGACGGGCCCACGGCTGCGGCGGCTGCTGCTGGGACGGTGGCTGCTGCTGGGGCTGCTCCTGCTGCAGAGGGGACTGCGTCTGCTCCTGCCCACCTGTGGTAGTCTTCTCAGGCGGACTACCGTCACCACCACCTCTCCCACCACCCCCAGAGCCACCACCCCGGCCTCCCTAGCGGCCACGGCCACCACGACGCGAGCGCTGCTACGGGTGGACCGCAGCAGCAGTCTCGGTAAGGGGGGTCGCAGAGGCGACCGCAGCCGAAACGTCAGTAAACGTGCACTGGGAGGGGGCACAGCCGTGAAAGATAGAGACTCCCGGCGCACCGCTCGACTGATCGATAGTGCGCTGGCGAGTCTCGATCTCGGTGAGGGTGTCGACAAAGGCGGTCAGAGTGAGGTCACCTGGGTGCTGGCTAAGGAAGTGGTCGGGAGCACTAGCTAGGCGGTCCGGCAGGCGCATGGCGATAAAATAGAGCGTCATGCTGAAGGGGGGGGGAGCGCAGTGAGCTGGGCAGCAGTGCTGGCAGTGCGATAGCGGGTCTCTAGGGCACGCAAGTGAGTGGCAAAGTCTGCGACAGTAGGGAAGGCAGCAAGGTCTGGGAACAGCATCGGGAACAGCAAGCAGTCGGCAGAAGCGGATGCAGGTGTGGAATAGCGAGCAATAACGGCGTCTAAATAAGCTTTGGCCGTATCAACCGTAGCGAAACGCGAGCGCTCAGACACAGGGAGGGCGTGACTAATAGCAACCTGAGCTACTGCATCGCGGGAGTCCCAGACCGCACACGCAAGCGTAGCAGTAGAGAAGGTCTCACGGTCATCAGAGGAGGGGTCAACAGGGATGGGAGCAGGAGCAGGGGGGCGGGGGAGTAAGCCATCGACATGGACAACCAAAGAGTGGCCATCCTGGCGCTGACCTGTAAGGTGGCGGCGGAGATCGGAGAGCCAGGCGGCGAAGTCAACCGCGTGGCCCTCAGCGTCCAAGCGGAGCACAAAGTCAGCCATCGTGCAGGGTCAGCGGCACTGCTCCACAGCGACACAGTAGCAAAGCTCAGCAGGAACACAGCGGCGCGGGGACACGGCGGCAGCACTCTCCAGCAGGGCGGGCGCGAGGCGCCCTAGGGCAGGCGGGCAGAGGAAACAGGGCCCGAACTGGCGCTCGAAGTCGGAGAGGCGCAGTGGGGCCGGGCGGGCGCTAGGAGCCTGGCGGGCGCGAAAAGGGCCGGGCGGCACTAGGAAGGGGCCGGGCCAGCGCTAGGAGGGGCCGGGCGGCCCTAGGAAAGGGGGGGGGGGGCGGGCCAGCGCTAGGAGGGGCCGAGCGGCCCTAGGAAGGGGGGGGGCGGGGGGGGGGGGGGGGGGGGGCAGGGCTAGGAGGGGCCGGGCGGGCGCAGTTGGGCCAGGCGAGCGCGCCTGAGCTAGGAGGGCGTGACAGGGCCAGGCGAGCGCTGTGGGGCCAGGCGGGTGCGGAGGGGCCAGGCGAGCGCGACGGGGCCAGGCGGGCGCAGAGGGGCCAGCCGGGCGCGACGGTGCCAGGCGGGCGTAGAGGTGCCAGGCGGGCGCGACGGGGCCAGGCGGGCGCGGAGGGGCCAGGCGAGCGCGACGGGGCCAGGCAGGCGCGACGGGGGCCAGGCGGGCGCGACGGGGCCAAGCGGGCACGACGGGGCCAGGCGGGCGCGACAGGGGGCCAGACAGGCGCGACGGGGCCAGGCGGGCGCAACGGGTGCCTAGGGAGCGCGACGGGGCCAGGAGGGCGTTACGGCGCCTGGAGGGCGCGACGGGGGCCAGGAGGGGGCGACGGGGGCCAGGAGGGCGCTACGAGGCCTGGAGGGCGCGACGGGGGCCAGGAGGGCGCGACGGGGCCTGGAGGGCGCGACGGGGGCCAGGAGGGCGCTACGAGGCCTGGAGGGCGCGACGGGGGCCAGGAGGGCGCGACGGGGCCTGGAGGGCGCGACGGGGGCCAGGAGGGCGCTACGAGGCCTGGAGGGCGCGACGGGGGCCAGGAGGGCGCTACGGGGCCAGGAGGGCGCGACGGGGGCCAGGAGGGCGCGACGGGGGCCAGGAGGGGGCGACGGGGCCTAGAGGGCGCGACGGGGGCCAGGAGGGCGCTACGAGGCCTGGAGGGCGCGACGGGGGCCAGGAGGGCGCTATGGGGCCTGAAGGGCGCGACGGGGGCTTAGCGCTAAGGGGGGGAGGGGATTAGCTAGGGCGCGTAGGCTAGGGCGCGGACGGAAGCGGGTGGGCGGGGGGACCTAACCTAAGCGTGATACCATGTTAGCATACGAGAATGATGGACTAGAAGGTGAAACAAGGAACATATAGCTTTTGGGTTGTACTCCCTAGGAGCACACACCGATACTAGCCTATAACTTCTACATGCATGACATGTATAAGTTGACAAACACTTCCGCTGCACTACTCAAGCATTCTTGTACAAGTGTGACTTAGTCTCTGGAAAGATCCTAAGGGCTTTTCTCAGCCCAACATCTTGCTTGTTCTCTTTCTTCTATTCATTTTAGTATCCTAACATTTCTAACTGCGAAATAAGCATACACTAGGCACGCATATTCGTGAACAGGCACACTGGTTTTCCATTACATGCAGGGAAAATATATTAAACAGCCAAGGCGAACGAATGGAGACAAATATCCGACCCCATCCCTGCAACGCAATCAAATCATGCCACAGGCGGCCTGAGCATCTGATCATGGGATGTGTCAACAGCCGACTGCGGTAACCACTGCCACATGGCCACAGGTGCCATCCCTGGCATGCCATATGGCATGGCAGGCAATGCGGCCATGTACTGTGGAGCAGCAATTCCTGCAGCAGCAGCGGAATGGGTTGGGACAGAGTATGGCATATGACCTGGACCAGGGTGAGCGACGGGGCCTGCCATCATTGGCATGTGCACCATGCCCATGGGTGCTCCAAGTGCTGCCAGCTTGGCTGGGTCACATGCTGGGTGCAGCATCATAGGAACGGTAGCAGCAGCAGCATTAGGAGGACAGGCCGCAGGTAAAGGTGGGGACAGTGCAGCCTCTGAAGCAGCTGCTGACGTGGGGGCCGTGGATTGGGCGGCCCCACCAGATGCTGCCATGCGCCTGACCTGGTCCTCCAGCTGCTGCTTGTTGGCCTGCAGGCGAGCCTTCTCCTCCCTCAGCTCGCCCTTCTCCGCCTGCACAGGAGACAGAGGGGGCAACAGGCGCAGGGCAATGCACAAGTCACAGGCCAAATGGCATGAGACCAACATGCCATGGAACCACTTGACACATGCGCACACTTGACACATGCGCACACACGACACATGCGCACACACGACACATGCGCACACACAACACATGCGCACACACGACACATGCGCACACACGACACATGCGCACACACGACACATGCGCACACACGACACATGCGCACACACGTCACATGCGCACACACGACACATGCGCACACACGACACATGCGCACACACGACACATGCGCACACACGACACATGCGCACACACGACACATGCGCACACACGACACATGCGCACACTTGACACATGCGCACACTTGACACATGCGCACACTTGACACATGCGCACACTTGACACATGCGTACACTTGACACATGCGTACACTTGACACATGCGTACACTTGACACATGCGTACACTTGACACATGCGTACACTTGACACATGCGTACACTTGACACATGCGTACACTTGACACACTCCCCAGCCTTACTTCCTCCGCGACCTGTGCTGGAGTCAGCCCTGATCCAAAAAACACAGCCCTTTCTCCATGCTCCTTTAATTTTCTCTAGCTACGTTTCGAGAGCAACACACCAGAAAAAACCACATCAGAGCACCAGAGCGCACCGAAGCCACAGACGAGCAGCACAGCAGACACAGCGCTCAGACATATGCAGCTGCAGTGCACACCATCATTCTACCGAAAGCACCCCCAGTACCACGCCCTCCACCTCCAAATCCTCCACCCCCCCACTTCCTTGTTACCTTCTCCCTCCTCACCCCCTCTCCCCCTCACCCCCACTCCACCCCCACCCCACCTCTCTTCCGCCCCCTGTCCCCCCCAACGCACCTTGAGCTCGCGGATCTGCTCCTTCATCTGCTCCGCGGATCCCCGCAGTTGCGCCGTCTCCGCCCTCAGCTGCGCCAGCACGCGCACTGCGTCTGCCAGAATGCTCCCCCTGTCCGCGCGCGCCTGCCCGCTCCCCTCAAGGGACCGCGCCAGCTCCACGAACCTGGGGAAGGGGGAAAGGGGTAAAGGGGAAGGGCGAAAGGGAGAAAGGGGAAGGGGGAAAGAGGAAAGGTGGGAAAGGGGGAGAGGTTGCAACGGGGCTCTGGACTTCCCCCTGTCCGCGCGCGCCTGCCCGTCCCCCAGCGACCGCGCCAGTTCAACAAACCTGGAACACGGGGGAAGAAGGGGAGGTCGCGGAGCGGCGAGGAGGGAGGTGCAGGCAGAGGGGGGAACAGGTGCAGGCAGAGGGGGGAACAGGTGCAGGCAGAGGGGGGAACAGGCCGCAGCTTCGAACAGAAGCGGAAAGGACAGACGGGCCAAGCGGGGGCATGGAGCCTTGACAGTTGAGTCGACGCCAAAGACGACTGACGCAGAATGCGGACAACCAACCTAACGTTATGACTATAGAGTGGACTCGAAAGTCACATCGTTAGCGCACCGACCACAAGCATCCACCTGTCGTTGAGTCGGTCGCGGCGCATCTTCTCCCGATTGGCCTTGCTGCTGCTCGCCTCGCTCGGGTCCTCTCGCGGCCTGGCGCGACACGAGGGACAGGGAACGAGGAACGAAGGCACAGGGAACAAATAGTAAGGAAGTGAGGACCACCAGATGAGTTCATCCAGTTGACACGCATAGGAAAGACGACCACGTACGATTCCGTGACAAGGGCACTAAAAGAAGTGGAAGGATTACTCTCTAACGAGGATAAGGTGAGAGCTGAGAGGAGACGACGGGTGGTAAGGGCCAATGAGCCAACTGATGCGGGGTCCAGTCCCATCCTATAACGGGGATAAAACGTTTCAGGCGCCTGATAATTCGCAGTGAGTGTACGCACATACCGCTTATGGGAAGCAGCGCCACCGCGGCGGCATTCAGAGTCCTTGCGACTGCCGTGCGACGGCCCCTTTTCCGCAGCACTGATCCCATTGGCGCGGCTGGAAGCTCTGGCAGAGAGACAACGGGCGAAGGAGTAGAGTAAAGGAGGGAGATGAGCGGGGTGTAGAGGAGACAGGGCAGGGAGGACAGAACGGGGAGAGGCGGGAGGGGGAGCAAAGGTTGCAGAAAAACCAATCACCTCTCGATTTCCTGACACGTGGACTGCTGCTCGGCCAGCAGATCATCCATCGCGGCGCCACCGTCAAGGTCGACGGAGTCCGTCAAGTACTTCATCCACTGGCCGGTCGGCGACGATCCCGATGGCGCAGCCATGCGGCTTCGTGGGAGGGACGGCTTCGTAACGGGGAGGGCGTCTCAAGGAAAGGGCTCCTGAACGCGAGGAGCTTCTGGGAGGGTGCTTCTGGGAGAGAGTGCGGCTTTTGGGAAGGGCGGCTTCTGAAAAGGGCGGGCTCGTGGAAGTGTGGGAGTGACGGCACGGGGAAAAGGTATCGGAGGAGCTTGTAAGGAGAAAAGCAGGTGACAAGTGGCTGTAAGGCTTGGCAGGGCGGCAGGTCGGTCAGGTGGACGAGGAGCCGCGGGTCTCTGGTGAGCGCCGGTGTCGGGATATCTGGAGACTCGGTGAGGAGAAAAGGCGATGGCGGTTGATGGGTGGGTGATGGACAATTGGACGGATGGTTAGGAAGACGAGCGCGACAAGAGCGGAGCCGTCTTGTTTCTAGTCTACTCGTTAGGTTGCAGAACTACGGCGGTTCGGGCAGCTAGGCGGTTCACGAAGATTCGACTTGAGATCTTTTAGAATTCTCAAATAGTCTATCAGCAGACTTGGCGGACTCAAGCAGCGACGTAGAGGCGATCAGGCGAGCAGCACCGTGCAGAGCGGGAAAGAGGAGTAGGTAGATTAGAGACCAGTGGTGAAAGCGCAGGAGGTGAACGGAGGAGTTCTGCACTGCGCGTGTGCGCTTCGCCTACCCGCTCTAGCCGCAGCTTCAGGCGCCTACCTGCCCAGCGCACTTCAGCTAACGACCAAAAATCGCCGAAGTAGGGGAGTACTTTTACCAACGACCTCGGGAGTTACACGGAGGCGTTTAGTAGAGCAGCAAGCAAACCCCTCCGCTTGGCTGCTGAGCAGCACGCCACGTCACACCTTGCTCGTGAGGTCTGGTTGAGCGACCATCAGGTCACGGCGGTGCCTGCTAGCTGATGCCCAGCCAGTGCCGTGCCCATCTGCTTGGAAGTTCCAAGTTGGTGTGTGCGGTGTGGTGTGGTGGTGGCGGACTGGTCATGTCATGACTCGCTGTGTCCCTGACTCACTGCCTCTTCTCCTCTCATCACCTCACCTCACCTCACCTCACCTCACCTCTCATCACCCTTCTGCTTTCCCGTCTCACCTTCTCCCAGCCCGATCCATCTCGACCAGCAACGATGACCCCGCCCAGCCCCCCCCCACCCCACCCATCCCCGCCCAAATTCCCAAAAAGAAACCAAGCGCCACGGCAGCCATTACTGTACAGTAACCTGGGGCTATCCACTTAGCGTTTCCGAGACTCCCAACGGCATACGAGTTCGGTTTCCCCAGGTTCGTGGGGCCACACCTGCCTACATGTGGGGGCCACGCCTTCCGCGGACTTCCGCTGCGCCATCCACATTTCCCCCCGTTCCCCAGTCAGCCGCACGAGCAGCGCCGCGGATGGGTTTGAATCGAACGGCCGCTTCGTGGCAGCTGGGTTTGCTGCGCTGGCTGCCAGCAGTGCGTGACGAAGGGCTCTGAGTGGTCCCTCCGCGATCTGACAAAATTTGGGTGGTGGGACAATCAATGTTGAACCAGCAGGAGGAACATAATCACTGTACGTTTACCTAAGGCACTGCTAAAAGTGAAACCATGATTCCAATCACATTAGTATATGTACATACTATACATGTCACCAGCAGTTTCACTTGGCAGGCCATGACCACACATCACGAATCAATAGGCCACCTGTTTTCATTAATGGAGCAAGCAGCATAGGGTCCTCCGTCGTGCCAATCGCCAACCGCGATACCATCCATGCAATCCGAGCCTTTGCGTCAGCAACTGTTCATTTGTACCCATGCCCCCAGCATCTCTCTCTTTGACCCCCGCTCTTCGAACACCATGCCATGCCGTGTTTGCAACCACACACTTCCTTTTAAGCTGTTGTCTTGACACACCCTTTCCCCTTAGGCCACACCCCGCCGTCATCCACCCCCCGCCATCATCTGCTGTGCAGGGCTGCAAAGCGACGCTGTAGGTCGTCCTCCTCTTCCTCCTGCCACGCTGCCTGCGCACTGTAAGCAAGGCATGGGAGGGATTGACTAAAAATGTGGTGGTATTTCAAGTTACTGTCAAACAAGTACATGCATCACATTTCTCCTGGTCCTTCTAATATAAATCCTTACATCCACACCACACATTCATGCACCCATACCACGCAACACGCCAATGCAGCCACATACCATGCAGCTATACCCTTCGTGCCCAAACGGTCTTCGACTTACCGAGACGTCTCTCCTTGTGCAGCTGCTGCCGCTGGCAGTCTCTTGGCCGGCACACTAGAGAGCTGGCAGCGATGATCCCAAGGGAGATTCGTTGTGGGTAGTATGGGTGGCGGTGGGATGAGAGGCAGAGGGAGAATCAGGGGAAGAAAAAGTCAGCATGAGAGGCCTTCTGCTGGCAGTCTCTTGGCCAGTTCACTAGACAGCTGGCAGGAATAATCCCGTGGGAGTTTTGTTTCAAGTAGAATGGTTGGGATGAGAGACAGGGGAGGAATCAGGGGAAGGAGAAGTCAACATGAGAGCCGGCTGCTGGCACTCGTCTAAGAGGCACAGTGGAGAGCTGGCAGAATGAGCTGATTCCAATGAAAGATCTGGCTTGAGCAGCATGGGCGGGCTGAGCGGCAAGCGGGGAATCAGGGAGGGAGAGTGTTGATATAAGAGGCCTGTTGCTGGCAGTCTTGTTGCCGGCAGTCTAGGGAGCTGGCAGCATGGCGTGTGCAGCGGTGGTGATGGAAGCAAGTGACAGCTCACGGAACATTAATAGCACCACGTGGTTTATAGTAGTGCTTGTGGTTTTGATGTGTAAAAGAACATGAGAAGTGGGCGAGAGATGTAACGAGTGCAACGAGAAGTCCAGCAGGGAGGAAGGTAGGGGCACAACTTGAAAGGGTGAGTGTCAAGAGGTATGAGGTGGCGATGTGATCCATGTGAATGTGAATGCGTGTGTGCAGATTCAAACAGTCTACTCTTGACTTTTGAATCGCTCTGCTCCGTGCATGTGTATACCAAAGCACAGACCATGAGTCACGAATTCCAAAGCACAGACCATGAGTCACGAATTCCAAAGCACAGACCATGAGTCACGAATTCAAGAAACGGCACCTGGGCAGATGTGTCGATTCCAATCTCATCCAGGATCTGAGGCGATCACACAGGGGCGGATGGGGGAGAGAGTAGGGCGGGCAAAAGGGCGAGTGGCTGATTAATCAGGGCAATGATGGGACGAGCGCCAGATTACAAAGGGCACCTGAGCAGACGTGTCGATTCCATCTCATCCACGATCTGAGGCGATCACAGGGGCGGATGGGGGAGAGAGGGAGAATGAAGGGCACGCGAGGGACGAGTGGAATGGGGAGAGAGACATGGCATAGGAGAAGGTAGAGGGAGCGGAAGAGCAGAGGGCAGAGGCAATAGAATGTACGTTCATGAGTGCTTGATTATGATAGAGTGCGACGACACAGAATAGCAATGGCAGCATGACAGCAGCAGCAACAGGTTGGAGAGGAATGTCTCGGAGTGTTCAGCATGGCACGGGGCTTTGGTTGGAGGCCACGCACGCAACACACTCAGGCTTCAAGAAATGTTGAACGTAATGGCATTCGCCTGGGTCCATCTCGCTGACATCATCTCACCTGGTTGCTGACATCATCACACCTGGTTGGTGATGTCATCGGCCTCTTCTTCTGTGTCACTTGAGTCCAGAGCATCGTCTAGTGCCCCACCCACCATGTCTTGCTGCAATGCCATGCCATGCCATGCCATACCAAGCCATGCCATGCCATGCCATGTGGTTCTTGCAATTCCATGCGATTCCGTGCCATGCCACACCATGCCACACCACGCCATGCCATGCCACACCATGCCACGCCATGCCACACCATGCCATGTTATTTGACAGTGTGCCAACTCCAGCCAATTCAGTACCACGTGGGGGAAAGGAAAACGGGATGAAAGCAAAGAAAAGCCAATCACAAAGAAAAGCCAATCACAAAGAAAAGCCAATCACAATGAAAAGCCAATCACAAAGAAAAGCCAATCACGAAGAAAAGCCAATCACAAAGAAAAGCCAATCACAATGAAAAGCCAATCACAATGAAAAGCCAATCACAAAGAAAAGCCAATCACAATGAAAAGCCAATCACAAAGAAAAGCCTATCACAAAGAAAAGCCAATCACAAAGAAAAGCCAATCACAATGAAAAGCCAATCACAAAGAAAAGCCAATCACAATGAAAAGCCAATCACAAAGAAAAGCCAATCACGAAGAAAAGCCAATCACAAAGAAAAGCCAATCACAATGAAAAGCCAATCACAAAGAAAAGCCAATCACAATGAAAAGCCAATCACAAAGAAAAGCCAATCACGAAGAAAAGCCAATCACAAAGAAAAGCCAATCACAATGAAAAGCCAATCACAATGAAAAGCCAATCACAAAGAAAAGCCAATCACAATGAAAAGCCAATCACAATGAAAAGCCAATCACAAAGAAAAGCCAATCACAAAGAAAAGCCAATCACAATGAAAAGCCAATCACAATGAAAAGCCAATCACAATGAAAAGCCAATCACAAAGAAAAGCCAATCACAAAGAAAAGCCAATCACAATGAAAAGCCAATCACAAGGAAAAGCCAATCACAATGAAAAGCCAATCACAAAGAAAAGCCTATCACAAAGAAAAGCCAATCACAAAGAAAAGCCAATCACAATGAAAAGCCAATCACAATGAAAAGCCAATCACAATGAAAAGCCAATCACAAAGAAAAGCCAATCACAATGAAAAGCCAATCACAAAGAAAAGCCAATCACGAAGAAAAGCCAATCACAAAGAAAAGCCAATCACAAAGAAAAGCCAATCACAATGAAAAGCCAATCACAAAGAAAAGCCAATCACAATGAAAAGCCAATCACAACGAAAAGCCAATCACAAAGAAAAGCCAATCACAATGAAAAGCCAATCACAACGAAAAGCCAATCACAAAGAAAAGCCAAGAGGAAAGGAAAGCAGCACGGATGAGAAGGCTCCGCGGGCTCGATGAGAGCCTTGTCCCGATCAGCGCAGCTGGCGGGCGAAATGCCTATCGCTATCAGTTCCACGAAACATCTCGACGACGAGCGGCTCTGCCAGGAGAAATGCCCGCCGGCATGGATCTGGCGGGCTAAACCCTACCCTGGCGAGCGAGCCAAGGGGGCTCCAGCCTACTCGTCGCGAGCCGACCCAGCTCAAGATGAGCCACCCCCAGGCTGGGCTCAATTACTCGAGCAACGAGCCGAGCAGTAGGTTGGCTCGGCTCCACCCAAATTGGGGGCGGCTAGACTGCGGCTCGAGTCGAGCCAGCTTTGGCTCACACCTTGCTCATACCTACGTCCACATATCACGCCGACCTGGAAGGCCCCTCACACACATCTCCTCCTCCACACATACCTGGCCGATTCTCGTGGATAGTCTGCTGCCATGGGAACATCTCCTCCTCCACCCATACCATGGGCGCGCACACAGCACACAGCACACAGCACACAGCACACAGCACACAGCACACAGAACACAGCACACAGCACACAGCACACAGCACACAGCACACAGCACACAGCACACAGCAAACAGCACACAGCACATCTAAACACCTCATGGTGCATCATACACACACCCCTTAACACCCCAACACCCCAGCACTCCAACATCCCAGCACCCCAACATCCCAACAAGCAAGCACCCCAGCACCCCAGCACCCCAGCACCCCAGCACCCCAGCACCCAGCACCCCAGCACCCCAGCACCCCAGCACCCCAGCACCCAGCACCCCAGCACCCCAGCACCCCAGCACCCCAGCACCCAGCACCCCAGCACCCCAGCACCCCAGCACCCAGCACCCCAGCACCCCAGCACCCCAGCACCCAGCACCCAGCACCCCAGCACCCCAGCACCCCAGCACCCCAGCACCCCAGCACCCCAGCACCCCAGCACCCCAGCACCCCAGCACCCCAGCATCCCAGCACCCCAGCACCCCAACACCCCAGCCCACCACGTGATCCATCTTGGCCGATTCTCGTTGGAAGTCTGCTGCCATGCGCGCTGCTGACGCCACGTCCATTTGCTGCAGATGGGGAGGGGCGAGGAGCCAGGGAGGAGCGAGTGAGGAGCAAGAAAGAGGACCTGGGAAGGAAGGAGGGGAGGTCTGCTGCCATGCGTGCTGCGGATGCCACGTCCATTTTCTGCAGATGGGAAGGGTGGGGGGGTTGGGGAGGGGAAGGGGACGGGGGGGAAGGAGGGAATCAGAAGGAGGGCGCTGGAAGGAGCACTGGGAAGTCTGCTGCCATGCGCGCTGCTGACGCCACTTCCATTTGCTGGAGAGGGACAAAGAGGGAGGAGGGGCAGATGGGGAGGGGGGAGAGAGGGAAGTCGTCTGCTGTGTGAACTGCTGACGCCACATCCATGTGCTGGAGTGACGGAGGGTACAGGAGGGGGGGGGGGGGGGGGTTGTGTGGGGAGTCGAGGACCTCGCCTCCCTCTTTCCCAGGTCCCTCTTTCCCAGGTTCCTCTTTCCCAGGTTCCTCTTTCCCTCGCCAGAGAAGTGGAGGGCAAGGGAAAGAGGGAGGCGAGGTCTGCTGCAGCCATGCGCACTGCTGACGGGCGTCCATTCGCTGCAAAGGAGAAGTGTGCGGGGGGGAGGTGAAGGGGAGGTGCGGCGGTAAGGAGTGGGGGGAAAGCGGGAAGGGAGAGGGCGTAAGACGGAGAGAGGGGAGTCTGCTGTTTTGCGATCTGCGGACACCATTTATTTGCTGCAGAGGAACAGTAAGGCCGGGGAAGAGACTTTTGGGTCGACTCCTAAGTCACCTCGATCTGCTGAGATGATGCCACGCTCCACTTGCTGCAGGTGATTTTTAGAACGCTCAAAGAACAGTAAGGTTGGGAAAGGGGAAGGGGGGTGGGCACTCCGATACAGGCCTCTCGCTAAGAACCAGGGTATTCCGGAAGGGGACGGAATCGCCTCAGGATTACCCGTTAACAGACGGAATTCCCCCAAAAAAACCCGTTACCGAAAGGAACCAGCCGCTACAAATTCGGCTAGCAAGTGATCAAAGCCAGGGGGGGGGGGGGGGGGGGGGGTGGGGGAGGTGGGGGGGGGGGGCCAAGTATAGCCCCCCTACAGATTGCCCTGCTACAAGTATAGCCCGCACGGATTCGAAAAAAAGTTACTCGTTAGGCTAAGGAATCGCGCGAAATTGTTTCTGTAAGTTGGACGGATTCGGAAAAAAATCGCACTGTAAAAAAACGGAATCACTTGAAAATTTACTCTAAATTTCTCGACATTAAAGCCCGCGTCCCAAATTGCGAGGCGTGACCTTCAAACGCACTGCGTTTGAAAGTCACATTTTCGTGGGTGAAGATGGGGGTAACGTGACTCGCGTCACTCGGGGCTGGCTTTCAAGTTCAGTGCGGAACGTATTTTGGGACACCCAGTGCCTCGCGTTTTTTAGCCGTCCAATATTTAGGGATTTACATCTGACGGCGCGCAAGTATAAAGTGCTTCCCCCAGTCAATCGAAATGTAATCTCAGCCGTCGCACTACCTGCTTGCAAATCGGACGATCTACGACAAATTGCGAATTCGCGAGATGAAACACCCTCACGATTTGTCTGTGTATTTCGTCCAAGCCGAGGCAGTTCATACGCAGTGCGTATGAACAATTTGGGTCGCGGGCTTTAAGGGCAATTAACCTGTTAGCAAGAGGCCTGCTCCGACAAACTGAGGCTGCGGGATAAAGTCCTTGGTGCTACTCTACTCATGTGGCGTCCAGATTTGAGACGTCTCAAAAGTCATGGGGCGTCCATTTGTTGAAGTGGCCCACAGAGGAAGGAAGAGCATTGGGGAAACGAGTGGACTGGGAACCAATATGGTGCATGTGTAGTTTAACACAAAAGCTCTGTATGTAACCTAAGACACTATGTGCATGTGAAACACAAGACACCACGTGCACATACAACGGAAGACCCTACTTGTATTGTATGTGTAACATAAACAAGCTAAGTGCAAAATGGAACCCCAAGACACAATGTGCATATCTATTACATTAGAAGACACTATCTGCATTAGTAACAAAGACAACACTTCCCTCACATCGCTCACACATCACATCATGACAGCATTCTCACCATAATCACTATAGTACCGTCCAATACAGTCCCCTTGCTCACCTTGTTCACATTCCCCATTACTGTTCCTGCACTGCGCATGGCCCCTGCCACTGTCACATTGGCTTGGGCCACCTGAGCGCAGCAAAGCGAAGAGACGAGAGGGCAGGAGGGAGGAGAGGGAGGGTGAGATGGAGAGGGGGACACATGGCACTTCGCCCCTGCCACTGCCGCGTTGGCCTGGGCCACCAGCGGGGCCACCAGCGGGGGGCCCAGAGAGGAAGGGGGAGAAATGAGGAGCAGAGGGGAGGAGATTTGAATACCAGGGGACTTCTGACGCACCTTACTATGCCTGCACTGTGCATGGCATCAGCAATGGCCACGTTGGCTTGGGGCACCTGAAGAAAGGCGAAGAGAAGGAGAGGGGGCGAGGAGGGGGGAAGAGAGGACAATTGAACGAACGAGGCTCCTGAGGCACCTTACTTACTGTGCCCGCATTGTGCTTTTGAGTCAACTCAAATGCACACTCCCCTGAAGCACCTTATTGTGCCCGCATTGTGCAACGCTCCCGCAGCTGACGCATTGGCATGGGGCACCTGAGACACATGGGGCACCTGAGACAGGGGGCGTGGTGGGGGGAATGAGAGGAGAGGAGGGGAAAAGAAGAACGGGAAGCAGCCCAGAAGCTTCTCTGCATGGCTCCTGGCAACCAACGGCTGACACGCTGGCAAAAGGATGGGGGGGGGGGTGAGATAGAAAGCGAGAGGCTTTCCTTGGCCCATGCAGGCTGCAACTAATGGGCCACCTGAGCGGGGGAAGACAGGGAGAGGAAGTGAGATTAGACTCGAGTGTGCATCATCTCGGCTGTGCATCATCTCGGCTGTGCATCAGTCCGCCACAGGAGTTGCTGGTCGTGGCGAGCGAGAAAGCACAGGCAAATACCCCTTAGCACGAATATTTCCTCTCCCCTGATCTGACCACGCATGCTTGTTCCCCTTAGCCTCGCCATGCGAGCTCATCCCCCTTCACCTAAGCGTGGGTGCTGCTGATGCCTCAAATCTGCGCCTTATACTTGTGCCCCCTCGCTCTCACTTTGAAGGGAGAGAAATCGAATTTCCCTCTCACCTGGGCGTGTGTGCTGATGCCTCGGATCTGCGCCTTGGATTTGTGCAACTTCTCTATCTGCCCCCTCACCCGTACCAACTCCCGAGCCAGCACCCGTGCTGCTGCCTGGCAGGTGGGAGACGCATGGGAGGCAGTGGAAACGATGGCATGGGAGACAGTGCAAGGGAAACAATGGCATGGGAGACATGGGAAACACCAGGATAGGAAAGAAGCGAAACCATTGCACAGCAACAGAAAACTCCCTCTCTGCCATCTCAAGCGCACCCTTCCATCACAATTTAGGCAGCACAGCACAGCAGAGCATGTATCGGACTGAAGTGCCGCCTGTTCCAGTCCCACCTGGTTGCCTGTCTTGGCGGTTTTCTTTATCTCCACCAGCAATTTCTTCTCCTGCCAGCCACGTGCATACATGCCACATGCCACCCCCATGCCATGCACATGCATGCCATGGCTCACAACAACGAGTACAACAGACACATACAAGATCGGCACAACAACAGACGCCTTGACATGCAGCGTGCACAGTTGAGACATGCAAAGCTGCGGCATGTGCGCGCTGAGACAAAGGCACACTTTACTTTTGAGGCGCCTAAAAAATAGGTACACGTGCGCTGAGACGAATGCACAGTTGGGGTTTGTTCTTCAACATTCTCTAGAACGAACTGTGCATGCGTTGCGACGCCTGCAGGCCGCAGAGACTGCTGAGATACAGCGCTGCTCTGCGGCTCTGCGGCTCTGCTGCTCCACCATTTCCCTCTTTTCCTTCTCCGTGCCCTCTGCCCGCGGGCCTATTGCCTCGACCTCTCGTCTGCATGCAGCCCACTCTCCCCCCCTCTGCTCATTACCCCCCCCTCTGCCCACCATCCCCCCCTCTGCCCACCATCCCCCCCTCTGCCCACCATCCCCCCTCTGCCCACCATCCCCCCCTCTGCCCACCATCCCCCCCTCTGCCCACCATCCCCCCCTCTGCCCACCATCCCCCCCTCTGCCCACCATCCCCCCCTCTGCCCACCATCCCCCCCTCTGCCCACCATCCCCCCCTCTGCCCACCATCCCCCCCTCTGCCCACCATCCCCCCCTCTGCCCACCATCCCCCCCTCTGCCCACCATCCCCCCTCTGCCCACCATCCCCCCCTCTGCCCACCATCCCCCCTCTGCCCACCATCCCCCCTCTGCCCACCATCCCCCCCTCTGCCCACCATCCCCCCCTCTGCCCACCATCCCCCCCTCTGCCCACCATCCCCCCCTCTGCCCACCATCCCCCCCTCTGCCCACCATCCCCCCCTCTGCCCACCATCCCCCCCTCTGCCCACCATCCCCCCCTCTGCCCACCATCCCCCCTCTGCCCACCATCCCCCCCTCTGCCCACCATCCCCCCCTCTGCCCACCATCCCCCCCTCTGCCCACCATCCCCCCTCTGCCCACCATCCCCCCCTCTGCCCACCATCCCCCCTCTGCCCACCATCCCCCCCTCTGCCCACCATCCCCCCCTCTGCCCACCATCCCCCCTCTGCCCACCATCCCCCCCTCTGCCCACCATCCCCCCCTCTGCCCACCATCCCCCCCTCTGCCCACTATCCCCCCCTCTGCCCACTATCCCCCCCTCTGCCCACCATCCCCCCCTCTGCCCACTATCCCCCCCTCTGCCCGCCCTCACCTCTGCCTGTAGGTTTGCCACTTCCCTCTCGAGTCCTGCTTGGGGGGGTGATGTCAAGGCAGGAGAGGAATGGCAAGGCAGGAGAGGAATGGCAAGGCGGCAGATGGGCCTCTGTGAGCCACGTTAAGGCGCGCACCTCTCGGAACACACATCCTCCTTCCTCCCTCCTCCCTCCTCCCTGCACTTCCTTTTCTGACGCGCCTAAAACATAAAATCTCTCCATTTCCTCGTCCACCCGTCGTCCCCTTCCCCCCTCTCGCCTCCCCTCCGCTCGCCTTCCCCCCTCTCGCCTCCCCTCTGCTCGCCTTCCCCCCTCTCGCCTCCCCTCCTCTCGCCTTCCCCCCTCTCGCCTCCCCTCCTCTCGCCTCCCCTCATCTCGCCTCCCCTCCTGTCGTCTCCCCTCCTCTTGCCTTCCCTCCTCTCGCCTCTCATTCCTCCCCTCACCAGTCCCCTGACTCTCTAGCCTCTTGCCCCTCCCCCCCTCCCACCGCCCTCATCACACCTCTAGCAGCCCTCCCCCCTTCCCCAACCCCCCATCAGTCTCAGCGCGCCTCTAGCAGCCCCCTTCCCCCATCCCCCTTCCCCCTTCCCCTATCCCCCTTCCCCCTTCCCCCACCCCTCTTCCCCCTTCCCCATACACCACCCGTCGCCTGCCCCACACCCCCACCCCCCCCCCCCCCCATCCCCTCACCGTCTTCCCCCCCAGCGCACCTCTGGCGGCCTGCGCCACGTCCCTCTTGCCTTGGCGCAGCGCCTCTGCCGGCGGGGGAAGCGGGAAATACGGAACGGAGGGGAGGGGGGAGAAGGCGGAAAGATGAAAAGGGGGCGGGGAAGGGGGGGGAAGCATGAGGTGGGGAGGGAGAAAGTGCGAATGCGGCCGGGATGCTGGGACGCGCGGCGAGACAGAGAAGCGGTGACAACGACTGATACATTGGAACGGGACTAAGCGGCGACAACGAGACGCGCCGGAGGGTCGTCCGCCACGCGAGCAAGGCGCAAGCCTCTCTGAGCTTTATCTCTCGTCACGAAACCATGGGCGCATCTCTCGCGTGTCGCACCTTGCGGCGTGGGCTTTTTCTGAAACATAGCGTATGGCGTGTGCGTCCAAGGCGATCGCGTGTACATAAGACGCGGCGTGTGTGACGTGAAGGGGATGGTATGTCGCAGATTCCGTGGAAGGAACAAAAAATTGGACAGGCATTTCCACAATGCTCAATTGTAACACTAGGTGTTACAGCTTGCTTATTGTAAGGAAAACTTTCAGTAAGGAACACTTTCCTAGTGTTCTTTGGATTCTCTATCGTCACACTAGATTAGATAGAACCATCTACCAGAAGACACTGCCTTCTTTAGAAGGTGGGAGAGTGTAAGGATTACGTATTTCTTAGTGTAGGCGTTCGATATCGCGTACACCAGAACATTCACGAAGCTACCTGCGCTTCGGCCCGGACTTCTCGTAACGAACCTTCGGTTCATCACCAAAACTTCTCTACGGACCTTCGGGTGTCAACTTATACATACATTTGCATGTAGAAGTTGTAGGCTAGAATACGGTGTATGTTCTTACAGAGCACAACCCAACCCTATATCTGTCAAACATATATTCTATGTTTCTGTATACTATATAGGGTTGTGCCGTAGGGAGTACAACCCATTAGGTTATATTCCCTTGTATGCCTTGTTCTAGACATTCTTTCACTTGAATATCGTATCATGAGTAGGTAGGTCCCCCCCCCCCCCCTTAGCGCTTCCGCCCTAGGTCCTAGCCACCTCGTCGCCCCGCAGCCCCGTCCCCTAGCTGCCCCGCGGTCCCGTCCCAGAGCGGCCCCGCGGCCCCGTCCCATAGCGGCCCCGCGGCCCCGTCACCTAGCGGCCCCGCGGCCCCGTCCCCTAGCGGCCCCGCGGCCCCGTCACCTCGCGGCCCCCCCCCCCCAGCCGACCCCGTCTCCCTGCCGGCCCCGCCTCTTTGCCGGTCCCCCCCCCCCCCAGCCAGCCCCGTCTCCCTGCCACCGCCCTCAATCACTTCCTTAGTCTCCACCCCACTGACCTCACCCTCACTGACTTTGTCGACACCCTGTCTGCCCTAGAGACCCGTCAGCGCTCTATCGCCCAGTCTAGTGGTACCGTGCCAGTCTCTATCTTTCAGGGCTGTGCCCCTGCTCAGTGCTCAAACTCCGACAGTTCTGCTGCGGTTGCTGAGACAGCTCTGACTATGGAGACAGCCGCCACCGTGCAGTTTCATCCGGGTAAGGGTCGCCACCCCAAGGCTGGGCGCGGCGGAGGTAGCGGAGGAGGGGGTGGTGCCGGTGGTGGAGGTGGCTCGCCTGCTGGTAGTACTGACGAGGGGGCTGGGGCTGGTGCCCCGGAGCAGCAACAGCAGCAGGCTCCGCAGCTGGATCAGCAGCAGCAGCAGGTGCAGCAGCAGCAGCAGCAGCCGCAGCAGCAGCGGAGGGTCAGGCGTCACCCGCCCGGGTGGCCTGGAGCTGGAGGTGATGGTGGTCGCAGTGGTCACTCGCGCGTTGTGTCATCGGGTGGTAGTCAGAGTGACGGGCGCTGCCAGTACAACCTCCAGACCGGTCCTCACCGCGGCCTCGTGTGCGGTAAGATCGGCCATACCCCTGCTCGTTGCTTTCGTCGCCTAGACGACCTGTTTCATCTCCGCTTCGGCCCGTCGCCTGACCTCCCCGACTGGCACAGTCTGCTCTGTCGTCGTGTTCAGATCTTTGATATGGACATGGATGAGATTAGCTCTGCTTTGTATGCGCTGTATGTTGATGACTCTAGTGTGACTGGTTCTTATTACCCTATGTTGCCTAGCGTAGGTGTGCCCAGTGTGCCTAGTTCAGACTCCCCTGCTGCGTCAGGCGTAGGATCCCCTGCCTTGATTAGCCTAGGGTCCTCCCTCGCTCCTCCGACCTCTGTCGCCGCTGCCGCGTTCTCCTTCACCCTGGACTCCGGCGCTTCCCGGTGTTTCTTTCGCGACTCCACGACGCTTACGCCGCTTGCCCCTCCTGCTGCAGCTGCTCTTGCAGACCCTTCCTCCGGTCCTGTAGTTGCCCGTAGCTTCACTACTCTCCCCTGTCCGGTGGTTCCCTTAGGCTCCCTTACAGGCCTGCACATCCCCTCGTTCTCTAGAAACCTAGTTGGTGTCGGCTGCCTCCAGGACCTTGGCGTCACCACTACGTTCCCTGGGCAAGAGCGGTACGCTGTTTGTACTGAGGCCGCCACTGGTGCCCCCCTCATCACGTTCCCTCGGGACCCGGTGTATGGCCTGTTCACGTTGGACACCGCTTCCCCCTCCGTTGGGACGCCTCCCCAGGTACCTGCGACTTCCCAGGTTGCTGCAATGTGCTCGTGTCGGTCGCTTACTCACCCGTCACTTCTGTGGCACCACCGTCTAGGTCACCCCGCCCTCAACTATCTCCGTCACATGTCCCAGCACCGTCTTCTCATAGGCCTCCCTGAGTCGTTTTCTGCGCTCCCCTCCTCACCCGCGGCTCTGGGCACGCCCTGTGTCGAGGGCCGGCTCCGCCGTGCCCCTCACTCCTCCTCGTTCCCCCCTACCTCCGCACCGCTGCAGACCCTGCACATGGACGTCTGGAGCCCCGCCCCCGTCCATGGGCCGCGTCGCGAGCGCTACTTCCTAGTGCTTGTCGACGACTACAGCCGCTACACCACCGTCTTACCCCTAGAGCGGAAGGCAGACGTGCCCGACGTTCTTCTCCTGTGGCTTGTCTCTGCGCGTGTTCACCGAGGTCTCCCTGTCTTGCGTCTTCATTCCGACCGTGGTGGCGAGTTTGCCTCTGGCTGCCTTGGTCGCTTCTGTCGTGCGGAGGGCATCACCCAGACGTTCTCCCTGCTGGACTCCCCGCAGCAGAATGGGGTCGCTGAGCGACGCATCGGTTTGGTTATGGAGGTTGCTCATACCTCCATGATCCATGCCGGTGTACCCCATTTTCTGTGGCCGTTCGCCGTTCGCTACGCTGCTCACCAGCTTAACCTCTGGTCGCACCCTCAGTGGTCGCAGGTTTCGCCGACCCTCCTGTGGACCGGGTCCCTTGGTGACGTGTCTGCGTTCCACGTCTGGGGCTGCCTTTCTCACGTTCGTGCCTCTGGCACGGACAAGCTCACTGCCTGCACTGTCCCCTGTATCTTCCTAGGTTTCCCCCTCAACTCGTCGGACTGGCAGTTCTACCACCCGCCTTCTCACCGGTTCTTTCTCTCTCGTGCCGTCACTTTTGACGAGTCCGTCTCCTTCTACCACCTCTTTCCCCACCGTGGTCCCCAAGTCACTCCCCCCCAATTCCTGGTGCCCCCCCCTCCCCCGGTCCACCCTGTCCACCCTCCTCCCCGCCCTGCCCCGTCAGGTGTGTCTCACGTCACCCCCCTCCCGTCAGTTGTCCTTGCGGAGGAGTTCGCTGACTCTCGCGGCTCGGCGGAGTCTCTTCCCCCGCCAGTCCGTGCCCCGGTCTCGCCTCCCCTATCGTCGCCGCTGCTGTCCCCGCCGCTGCCGCCTCCGCTGCTGCCGCAGCCGCCGTCGTCACCGCCGCTTGGGTCCGTGCGTTCTCGGGGTGCTGGGGAGCGGGCTGGAGCTGGTTCTGGAGCGGGCTCTGGGGGTGCTGTCGTGGGGCTTCTCGGAGGGAGCCGTGTTGTCGCTGGAGCTTCTGGTGTTGGATTCTGACAGCAGTTGCAGCTATCGCCGCCGGTGTCCGCTCTTCGCCTCCTGGGTCCTCCTTCCCCTGACCGTCCGTCGCTGCCTCCCCCGCTGTCGCCGCCTCCTCCTCTGCTGGTCCACGGCCCCGTGTTTCCTCCCCCAGACTCCTCTCCGACTCGTTTCCCTCCCCGTTCTCCTCCTGTGTCTCCTCCCCTCTCTCCTGACCCGACTCCTCCGTCTTTCGTCTGGTCTCGTCGTCCGTCTCGTGCTCGTCCTACCTCCCTTGTTTTGCGTTCTCACCCAATGTTGCTTCGCTCTCACGCATCTCGTGCTCCTCCCCTCCTCCCGTCTCCTCCTCCGTCGTCGCTTGCTATGGCCCCGCCTCCGTTCTTGGACTTCCTCCGTGCTGCGCATCCCCTTGTTCCTCGTGTCCTTGCCTCTCTCGTTACCGACCTGTCCGTTCCTGTCTCGAGTACGTCGGCTCTTGTCGCTGCTACCACTGACTTTGCCGCTACTTGCAGCCTGGACTACGCCACCGCTCTGGTATCTGACCGTTCCTGCCCTCCGACCGTCGGGGTTGTGGCTGCTCTTGGCTGTGACGTCCTAGAGGGCAGGCAGCTCGAGCTCGCTCCCCATCTCTGTTCCATGCTACTAGTCCATGAGGGTGACCCAGACTCCCTCGACATCCCGACCCCTCGCATTTACGCTGAGGCCACCTCGGGACCCTGGGCCTCTCAGTGGATAGCGGCCATGCAGCAGGAGATGGCATCTTGGAGATCCAGCGGTACCTTCGTCGACGCATTTCCCTCACCTGGGGTGAACGTAGTCGATGGCCGATGGCTCGTCAAGGTGAAGCGCCCTCCTGGAGAGCCGCCTGTCTTTAAGGCATGTTACGTTGCTCGTGGCTTCAGTCAGCGTGAGGGGGTGGACTTCTTTCAGACCTTCACCCCGACCCCCAAGATGACCACTCTTCGGGCGCTGCTACACGTAGCAGCGCAGCGTGACTACGGGCTGCACTCTCTCGACTTCTCCACAACTTTCCTCCACGGCAGTCTACACGAGCAGGTCGACCTGCACTGCCCCCAGGGCTTCTCCGGTACCTTCCCCCTTAGCACGAAGTGGCTCCTCCGGCGCCCCATCTACGGCCTGCGACATGCGCCCCGTGAGTGGCACGACACACTGCATGCTACGCTAGCTGACCTGCAGTTCTTTCCGTCCTCAGCAGACCCCTCGCTCTTCGTTCGTGCTGGCCAGACTCCGTTCTACATCCTTGTCTACGTTGATGACCTGGTCTTCGCTACTGCAGACAGAGACGCGCTGGCCTCCGTGAAGGCCGAGCTGCTGAGGAGACACACCTGCACTGACCTAGGAGAGCTGCGCCGCTACCTTGGCCTACAGATCTCCAGGGACAGAGCAACGCGCACCATCCCTCTCACACGGTCACACTTGGTGCTCCAGGTCCTTCGGAGGTTCAGTCTTCAGTTCTCCTCTACACATCCCACACCTCTGCCAGTAGTT